ACGGTATTTTTTTCTTATTTTTGGTAAATGATAGTTTGTACAATGAAAAGACTAGAAAAAAAAAATATGTGGGTAGTGACACTTCATAGGCACTTGTTACAATCATAAAAAGTAAGGGTAAAAGTAAAAGTAGAAATCTTAAGAGGCGCTATAAATTTAGAGGTAAATCACAGTCGAAAGGAAAATTCAGTTGTTCTCATTGCGACAAAGAGAGGCATATGAAAAGAAACTACAGGGTTTTGAAAAAAGGAACATAATAGTAAGAAATTAGAAAAAGACAAATGATCAGAATACCACTAAAACTATAGTTAATGACAATGAAGAACTGCTTGTACTTTCATTTGTTTATGATCATAGCCATGTCACTCCTAATTCTATAGCATTCTATCGTGCTACACTTAGGAGAGATGTCTTTACTATGTACAAAGCAAAATATTTTGATAAAGTGAAGATGGGTAATAATAGCTATGAAAATATTATGAGTATTGATGATGTTTGTGGACAAACAATGTAGGTTGCACGTTAACTTTAAAGAATGTGAGACATCTGTCAAATTTGCATCTAAATCTGATTTTTACTCATGCACTTGATCTAGATGGTTATTACAATCTTTTTGGTGATAGAAAATATAAACTCACTAAAGATTCAATTGTGGTTACTAGAGGCAGATTGTGTCATACACTTTACAAGACTCAAATAAAGACTATTAGAGGTGCATTGAACAGATGATGTTTCACTATACTTGTGCCAGAAGAGGTTGACTCATATGAGTGAGAAATAGTTATAGATTCTGTCAAAGAAGTCTCTTATTCTCTTTAACAAAGGTATGAATCTAAACCTTGGTGATAAATGTTCTTATGGTAAACAACATAGAATTTATTTTAGTAGTAAATCTGAAAGAAAATATAATATTTTAAATTAGTTTACTCTTATGTATATGGTTTTTTTGATGTGAAATTGTAGGAGGTACTAGATATTTTGTTACTTTTATTGATAATGCTTCACGAGAGGTTTAGGTGTTTGTTTTGAAAAGAAAAGATCAAGTTTTTCAGTACTTTAAGCAGTTTCATGCATGGTAGAAATAGAGAAAATAACTTATTTAAAATGTTTTTGTAGTGATAATGGAGGTTAATGCACTTTAAAAGAGTTCAAGAATTAATGCATACAACATGGAATCAGACATGAGAAGATTGTTCCTAATACTCCTCAATATGGTGTGGCTAAAAGAACAAATAGAATCCTCCCAGAGAAAGATGTGTTAATTTTAGCAATTAAGAGGATGACCAACTAACCTAGTGCTTTATTTTCTCATCTACTTATAATGGTTGAAGCAAACTTAAAGGACACCCAAAATAATAGATAACCGTTATAAAAGAAAAGGTACCTTGACGAAGTGATAACTTTAAAATAAATTATAAAATTATTATATTTTATAAGTATTAATCTACAATAATAGAAATAGTTATCAACACATTCAATTACCTTAAATGTACTTTGGCCTCTCTTCTCATCTATAAAGGAGCACAAATTCCATTATCAATGTGTCTTCCATCAACTAAAATTACAAAGTTTTGTACATAATAGTTAGATAGAGAGAAGAAGTGAGTTAGAAAATTAAGATTTTTTCTAAGGGGTCTCTCAATCACACTATAGCTGCATCATCTCAGAACGATATGTAACTCTAACTTCTACCATTTTTCTTTTCTTAAGATGTGTTGAATTTAATAAAAATATGACTTCAGCATAAAAGTTTTTTACAAGATGCATGTTGAAAATGACTAATATACTAAATTCATTTTGGGGTGAAACACTCTACATTACCTGTTACTTAATAAATTGATCTTCGTTAGCCCTTTAGATTTTGATATTCCTCATAGAGTATGGATTGAGAAGGATGTCACTTATTCTCACTTGAAGATATTTGGGTGTAAGGCATTTGTGCATGTAGTTAAGGAGCAAAGACAGAAGCTTGATGATATGACTATTTTATGCATTTTTCTGGGTTATAGAGATGCAAAGTTTAGGTACAGATTATGGGATCTAGTGAAAAAAAAAGTCATCAGGTCTAGAGATGTAATTTTTAATGAGCACAAGACCTTATCAGACTTTGAGACATCATATAAGATTATAAGTGAAGATATCCCTCTTCCTGCACTAGTTTCTTCTTCGATCAAAGATGCCACATATAAGAGAGAGAACATGATGATCAAGAGTTTGATGATATGTCAATACTAGATGATGTTGAGCAGGGGGAGCAGTCCCTTGCATCCCAGGTTACAAAAGAACCTCATCTTAAAAGATCAACTAAAACACATCATCCTTCTACTAGATACTCCAGTTCTGAGTATATTATAGTTACTAAAGAGGGGGAACCAGAAAGCTTTCAAGAAGTTCAAACATAAAAAAGACTCAGTGGTTGAAAGCAATGGAAGAAGTGATGGGCTCTTTGAAGAATAATAATACCTATGAATTAGTTGAACTTTCAAAAGATAGAAAAGCTTTGAAAAACAAGTGGGTATATAAGCTTAAGATGGATGGTGAGAAGCTAGTGAAATATAAAGCTCGTTTGGTAGTAAAGGGTTTCAATTAGAAGAAAGGAATTGACTTTGATGAGATATTTTCTCCTGTTGTGAAGATGAGCTCCATTCGGGTAATTCTTTGTTTGACTACTAGTTTAGGTCTTGAGCTTGAACAATTAGATGTAAAGATAACATTCATTCATGGTGATTTGGAAGAAGAAATCTACATGGATCAACCAGACAGATTTGAAATCAAATGGAAAGAACACATAGTTTGCAGGTTGAAGAAGAGTTTGTATGGATTGAAACAGGCTCCAAGACAGTGATATAAGAAATTTGATTCTTTCATGGTCAGCCATGGTTACACCAGAACAGATGTAGATCATTGTGTGTACTTCAAGATATTCGCAAATGGTAAGTTTGTCAATCTGTTACTTTATGTAGATGATATGTTGATCGTAGAATAAAACACTATAAAGATTAGTGGTTTGAAAAAAGAATTGGTTGGCTCTTTTGATATGAAAGATTTAGGACCAGTATGACAGATTTTGAGTATGCAGATTACTCGTGGCTAGAAAGCTAAAATGTTATCGTTGTTAAAAGAAATGTATGTTGAACAGGTTCTAAATAGATTTTATATGAAGAATGATAAGTCAGTTAGCACACCACTTACTAATCACTTCATACTTAGTAAGAAATTATGCCATGCTACTCAAAAAAAAAAAAAATGTCAGTTGTTCCTTATTCCTCTGCAGTTGGGAGTTTGATGTATGTTATGGTTTGCACTCAACTAAATATTGCTCATGTTGTTGGTTTGGTAAGCATATTTTTTTCTAATCCTACTAAGAGTTATTGGGAAGCAATAAAATAGATTTTCAGATATTTGAGAGGTATTTCTAAGATATGTTTATGTTTTAGATGTTCACAACTAATCATAAAGGGATATGCAGATGCAGATATGGCATGTGACCTTGATAGCCAGAAGTTTACTATCAAGTATGTGTTTACTTTT